TTAATTTCTACCTACTGTACAAGTAGTCCACAATCATCTCCACAGTTTTGAGGGAGTTCAGCTCCAAGTTGTTAAGATGTGTTTTTGTTATTTAATATATAATTATAATCAATAATTATGTCCCCACTGGATGCAACAAATGCCTCGTTTATAATGGGTTTTAATGTTTTTGTCTCGTCTCTCCGGCCGGGACACTGCATTACAGTATGGTAAGGGGCGTAACATTTCCGTCACAAGTAAAATTAGCATGTTAACATACAGTGCTTTCTCCTGGAGATGATCTCTCATCTGTCTTCATCACTGAGAACTGAACATCTGCAGGATCTGCTCTCACAGAGGTCTGAAGGAGAGAAATTATGCTATTTATATGTCTGCTTCAACATATACAACATTACAGGATCTCTCTCCCAAACGGACCCCCACGCACCTGCCGAATGGTGTCTCCCTCGTGGTTGCTAATGGTTATGCTGCGGTCTTCACTGCCCAACGCCAGGAGGTTCTGAGAGCTCCAACAGCCACATGTGATTTTCTTTGTGTGCTTACCTACATGTACACACGCATGATGTGGAAACTAGTCGCACAGCACTCGATTAAATTCAGTTTGCTTAAATTATCAAATTTTACCCAGAATATATAGTACAGTAATGAGGAAAATATGCTCAGATCCCAGATCCCCCAATCTTTTTTTTTTTTGTCTCTGCCCAAAATATGTGTGAAACATATTATAAATATAATTTTTAAATAGAAAATATATTCATTTTCTATTACTATTTTTAACTATTTCATTTTACCCAGAACCGGAATCTTGCGTGAGGTTTGCTGGTTGTAGATGAGCAGGTTTCCTTTAGATGTGCCAACAGCCAACAGTGGCCCAGTTTTGGACCAGAGCAGAAAGGACATCTGATCTCTGTATCAACCAGAAAAAAAAAAAACAGGTGTCTCAAAAACAATCAAAACTTTACAGATCCCCTGTAAAGACCTTGTCTCAGACGACCACCAGGACAAGACGACAAGAACCAGATGAGTCCTCTGCACAATGTGACATTGCTGCAGCCTGGAATTGAACTGCTGGTTTCGTCTGGTCAGAGGAGAACTGGCCCCCCGACTGAGCCTGGTTTCTCCCAAGGTTTTTTCTCCATTCTGTCACTGATGGAGTTTTGGTTCCTTGCCGCTGTCGCCCTGGCTTGCCTAATTGGGGACACTTCATTTCCAGCGATATCGTTGACTTGATTGCAAATGATTGCAAAGATACTACTTAAACTGAACTGAGCTGCATGATGACCTCACTGAATTCAATGATGGGATTGAACTGAAAATGAGTGTTTACTATTGTCATTTTGCATTATTGACACACTGTTTTCCTAATTAATGCTGTTCAGTTGCTTTGACACAATCTGTATTGTTAAAAGCGCTATATAAATAAAGGTGTCTTGACAATCCGATTCAAAGAGTTTCCTCTCAATAACACGCTCGCTCTCTCATCACATCACTCACTTCATTCCACTGTCCAGCTGTGAGGTTTTGTTAACATTTGCATCCCACAAGTAAATGGAACTGGACTTTTCAGCAATCACAGCCAAGATATCGCCATCTTTATCCCAGTCGAGAGATACACAATTCCTGCACGCACAAAAATATCCAAGTATGAGCAACAACAGAGAAGAACGTCAGTCCTGCATTATTATTGCTCTTTAGTTATGCAGAAAGCAAATCACATCAGACCTTTCTCTTCCAATTAGAGTCTCAGATACACAAATAAAAGCCTGAATGCTCACTTACCCAGGGAGATTTAACTCATTCACCTTCTGTCCATGCCGATCAAAGATTTTTACTAAATTGTCAGGGCTGTGGATATATAACATATGATATATATATATATAACTTTTAACTCTCACGCTCCCTTAAAAGATTGACTAATAACCCAGCAGTTACTCACCCTGAAACTGCAAGATAGTTTCCTACTGTTTTCTGCCATTTGTATTGCAAACATGATCCAGACCAGGACTTTTCTGAGAGCGTGAAAACACGCTGAAAAGAGACAAACATCAGTTTCACATCAATACAGTTCGCTGATCAATTACAGTCACACAATATCAGGATCAAGTGACCACATAACATCAACAAAGATAAAGTTACAACAGTCCAGCTCCTTAGCTCAACATTCTTATATTAGGAAACACGAAAATATGAGTTAAGAGTATAACTTTTTTTATTTACACGCATTTGTTTCTCTGCTAAAAGACATGAACTGTTGTTGAGCTAGCTAACTTAACTAGCCGTCGTGCTAACGCTCTTAAAAGCACGCTAACATTCGTCTTCACCAAAGCACATGTGCGCCTCAAACAGCAATATCCCCTTTTTTAATACAATGCGACATTGCGTTGTTTTATATATGTAAAAATATACGTGCCTTCATTTTTGTTTGTCGAAAACGCTACACTTGCCAAGCTGCTTCACTCCGACGCGTCTTGATCTCTCTTAGCAACCGCTTAGCAACAGCCAGGCACGCTTGACAAGACGGCAGCATACGTAGTACGTAAAGGACATTTTAAACGAGAAGATGATTTTTAAAGAGTTAAATGAATAACTAATAGAGAAGTATATTTACCACTTATATTTATCTGATAGCCTACCACCCGTCATAGTCCATCCCTCCTGAGAACCATAAAAAAAATTGAGATTTTTTTAATTAACGTTACATTGATTGGAGCATACGAAACGTAGAAAAAACATTTTTGAAAAAAATATATTTTATTCTATGTCCTTTGTAGAGGACGCCAGGACTAAGTTATAATTTTTTTTTTAAGACATGAAAAGGCATGTATAAGCAAAAACAATGTTTTATTTTTTTCATTCACTAATCAGTTTTTAGGTTTGGGGCTATTTTTAACCAAACTTTGTACAAAGATGATTCTCAACTATGTTATGAAAGATATAACAGAACGATTTGATATACTATTTTACTTTATACAATATGTGCGTAAACTGTAAACATAAATTGATATTCCCATTTTATTCAATGTATCTATACACTGCATCGAAGTTGCATATTAATGTGTTCTTGGGGCAAACCATAATGAAAAAATAAGTGTTATAATGGGAGCAATAACTGGCAACATGTTCATAAGAATATCTCATATTTCATAGTAATATTGATCTATAATTTCTTGTGGTGTCTCCCCAAAATGATGTTTGTCCTGGTATCCTCTACAGAAGACATGGAAGTATATTTACCACTTATATTTATCTGATAGCCTACCACCCGTCATAGTCCATCCCTCCTGAGAACCATAAAAAAAATTGAGATTTTTTTAATTAACGTTACATTGATTGGAGCATACGAAACGTAGAAAAAACATTTTTGAAAAAAATATATTTTATTCTATGTCCTTTGTAGAGGACGCCAGGACTAAGTTATAATTTTTTTTTTAAGACATGAAAAGGCATGTATAAGCAAAAACAATGTTTTATTTTTTTCATTCACTAATCAGTTTTTAGGTTTGGGGCTATTTTTAACCAAACTTTGTACAAAGATGATTCTCAACTATGTTATGAAAGATATAACAGAACGATTTGATATACTATTTTACTTTATACAATATGTGCGTAAACTGTAAACATAAATTGATATTCCCATTTTATTCAATGTATCTATACACTGCATCGAAGTTGCATATTAATGTGTTCTTGGGGCAAACCATAATGAAAAAATAAGTGTTATAATGGGAGCAATAACTGGCAACATGTTCATAAGAATATCTCATATTTCATAGTAATATTGATCTATAATTTCTTGTGGTGTCTCCCCAAAATGATGTTTGTCCTGGTATCCTCTACAGAAGACATGAATGAAAATGATGCCTTGTTTCGTTACAAAAAGATTTTAAAAGCAATTTGAAACCCCACATTTTTTTTGAAGATATTTAGACAATTTGAAAATTAGCCAGATTTAAATAATAATTACAAAACATTATCATATGAAAATGATGCCTTGTTTCGTAACAAAAAGATTTTAAAAGCGATTTGAAACCCCACAACATTTTTTTTGAAGATATTTACGACAATTTGAAAATTAGCCAGATTTAAATAATAATTACAAAACATTATCATATTTCTCCAAGAGTGCTAAATTGGATAATTCTGTCAATGTAAGTCATATTTAAAGACCAAGGAGAGGGAGTATTTATAATCAACCCTCCAAACATTTGATATCTCTAAAGCCCTGCATGTGCTCTGTACAGGACATCCAGACTTAAACTGTGGCATGTAGGGTCTCAGAGAAATTCACTCAAATATAATGTCCTCTACGGAGGACAAAAGTCCATGCCTGGGTCCCAGGAGCTAATCTATTCTATCTATAGCACACCTGTAGATACAATTTTGTCTATTTATATATTTTATACATATCTGTATTTTGTTGTCTCTGTGTACTGGAAGCTTCTGTCCCCAAAACAAATTCCTTGTATGTGCAAACATACTTGGCAATAAAGCTCTTTCTGATTCTGACTTCTCTGAGGAGTACCTAAACTCAAGGGTTTGCAGAGATTGTTTCATATGGCAAATAATATCCTGTGTCTGTCTGCCCAAATATATGTGAATTATATTATAAGCAGAAGTAATGAATAGCATGATTGAAAGTTTACGTAAACCTTCACATTTCACAAATATATTGCAAAATGTGCAGCAGGGATAAGTTGAAGTATAGTATATATAGAAAAGATAAATAAAGTATATGCTAAATAATATATATACCCTGAATTATCCATGTGACACTGAGAACAAATATGAAAGTTGAAGACAGTTGTTACATATATTTCTGCATATATATATATATATATATATATATATATATATATATATATATACACACACACATATA